ATTATAAACTCATATAAATAACTCTACTAGCAATAATGAAAATATTTTTCTCTGACTACTCAACATTTATATTACATAAAATGAGTATTAGAAAAAAAGACCCAATTTAATTCAATATGGTGAAATGTTGATATAACAGACCATCTATGATGATATAGTCTGGCAGGAAATTGGTATTATGATCAACTTCTACTCTGTAATAGCACATTCAGCATGTCAGACAACAGGATGTTCTTGACACATATAGACTATTTTATAGACTATTGTAGATTTGAACATGTATTAGCTAATTTCAATGTAACTACATATATACAAAAAAGTATCCCTCAGAAGCTTGAAATTAAGCAGATCAAATGCCAATAAATCTGCTGGTAACAGAACATCCTTTCTGATCATTTGCTTCATTTAGGTTTTGGATACTTACACATCACTTCTGGACATCCAATGGGAGCAGAACACTGTAAAACCAAAAGTTATTGCTATTTTGAAAACACAAGCTAAATTTTCTGACTGGTTATAGCACAAAAAGCAGTGCAATATTAAAGACATGCTAATTTAGTATACTGTGTAAAATGTACACTTTACATAGCCATTAATCTCAAGGTGGCTGTAATCAAGCTTCGGAGAATACCCAGAGCACAATTCCTTGTATCAGTAGCTTTTGTTGGATGGCAGTCATCACCTTCCCATGGTCAATGGGAGAAAAGAGGGAGAGAGCCCAAGGGAGAGAGGTACTGCTCTGTGCGAAGATTTGGCCTTGGAGTCTGGGCTTTCGAGATGCCCTAGTGATCTAGGATCGATGCCGTTTTATTTTCTTTCGGGAATAAATCTGAGCAATGGAATGGCTTACGATTATTCAGCCAACCAGCCATATCAGATTTATCAGAGAGAAAGAATGAAAGCTGGCTTAGAGAAGTCCTGCAGTGGCTGAGCGGCAGGTCACAGGGAAAGACACACACACACACAAATGAATATACTTAGTGGTGGGAGGGAAAATATGTATTCATATGTCCCTAAACTCAAATAATATGTAAGGAATCCATAGTAATGGAAAGGGTGAATGTATGAGACAGATGATAAATAGTACTTCTATTTAAGAACCAAAGAGATGAAAGCTCATGAATACTAAATATTTGAATCCACTTTGAGGAGGAAATATGATTTTCTACCAAGTGAATGCAGACTCTAAAAAATCAGCCAATGCAAACATTGTGTTCAGGTTAGAATAGAAGATACATAAATCTTCCATCCCCTTCAAGCCCTAGTAAACATTCTGATGTAATTTCCTAATTAGGACACATTTCCAGGGACTAAATGAAAAAAATATATATGTATATACAAAGCTGTAAGTGCTTGATTTTTCAAGAAATTCGACTTTCTATGCGTGCATGATTAAACTAAAGGCACTTGAGTTGAAAAGAGGAACAAGGAATCGTGGCAGAATCAGAGAGACTCCACTTCATCTCAGCCGTAGAAACCTATAGTATTTTTAAGTAATTTGCAGCTACAGTGAGAGGTAGTCATCTGTTTAGAAGTATTCGGAATGGAAAACATGTCCTTCTCTTAAGCTCTCTTGTACACACATGCATGGTTTTCAAAATTAAAGGAACAAAAGGGCTGTGAAGTGTGCCCATGGACATGCTCATTGTAAATACATTTGGAAAAGATGACTGATGCATTTAAAAAAAAAGTATGTAATATTTTTGTCATTTTACTTTTACTAATAATTTCATCTCAAATGTAGAATACCACCTAACGTTTGGGGGAAAATAATGTGACTTAAATTTGTAGATGTGTGCACTTTAATGGAATGAAAAGCAGGAGGGACTGAGTAACTTGCACATGAGAATGAGAATGGACTTGTCCATCACATAGGGTGGCTTAAGAGAATGCCACTTCAACACTACTGTATATTTTTATCGGTGCACAAAAGAGATATTGATAAGTCCCACCATAGAAAGAAGGCAAACACTGTAGAATTATCCCTTCGGGTGGGATTGCCATAGAAAGGCCTTGGACTAAAAACATTTATAGATAAAATTTATCACTAGTAATAAGTCAAAAATTCCTCAGAATTATTTTAAAATGCTCAAAAGCTGACTTGTTCTCCCTCAAGCAAAATAAAAGCCAAGTTTTCTTACGGACAGTTTTCCCAAGAAACATCTTGAAGATCGTAGACGAGAATCTCCCACTGTATGGTTTTATTCCATTCACATACAGCAGTAAATAAGGTGCATTCCTTCTGCTTAAGAAATTAGCATTTCAAAAATATGCCACTCTCCCCTGAACTCCAAGCGTGTCTAATAATGCGAAAAGCAGATTGTCTTCCCTCGTTTCCTTAATTTGTTTCATCTAAAAGCAATTCACTCAACATCTTGTCGCCCTCTGGCAGCTTAGTTTACTTATCCGCACTTAATTTCTCATTTGGACCAAAACAAACTCCTCCAAACTGCTCCTGACTGCTAACCGCGAGAGAGGAGACGCGCAGTATGTATTTACTTGGATAGACAGCCACACACATGCACAGCCACAGCCACAGAGCCTCACGCTCACCAGACAGCTACTTGTTTTTATAATAGCACTACATTAAAACCAGCTGAACTTTCTCTGCCAGGTGCGGTGGGGCGCCTGAAAATAAAAAAAAAAAAAAAAGTCCCTGGGGGCACTGACAGTTTCCAATAGATCACCGAAGTATGCTTGTTGTAATTATACCAGGGATGCACCCGAGAGCTTTTCTTTGTGCGGCCCTTTCATCTAGATCACTTTGTGTTTTGAACAAGTGAGGCTCTCTTTTGTGCCCCCAGAATTTCAAGTACAGAGTCACACACGCGAACAACAATGGCACGCTAATCCTCGTGCTTCTAAATGGGCTCACTTGTGGGTCTGACGATTCGTCCAGGGAACAGAGCAGAGCAGAGAGAGAGCTAGGGCGCAAGCTGGTGTCGTCTGAGACGTGGAAGGGGACAGCTGCAGAACTAATTTGGATTACATTCCTTGCCTAAATTTTGAAAAGGGCTTTTCGGCATAGCCCTACCGGGAGCTGCACAGTTAATACCAAATTGCTGCGGACTCGAAGCGGGGGAGATCCCCCAGCGGCCCAGGCCATGCCAGACAGCCCCCTGGTAGGGTGGCCTGATAGAAATTCTTCTCGGCTAAGCCTGCGTGACAGTCGCAAGTGTTTTTGAATGGGTCAATGTGCATAATCAAGCCATTGAGGGGAAAAGGCGAAGGGCTCTGAGTGGGTAGCTAGAAAAAGGATGTATCTAGGCGGCCGCCTGGAATCCCAAGTCCTCGCTGCTGTGATTCCAGAGGTGGCTGGGGCACGGGGACTGGTATGCACGAAGAATTTCGGAGTCACCGGGAGTGTGCAAACGGCCAGCACAAATGGCGCACATGTGCCATTCGAAGGTCATTTTGAACCGCTCAGAGATTGTAACTTGTTATTTACTAGGCAAGGAGGAGGGGGGGGGGGGGGGGGCGGAGCGGGAAAACTAGCAAGCTGCTGTTTTCTCGGTGAGGTCAGAAGGACACCCTCTGGGGACCTAAAGCTCTCCCTGTTACCACTCCTGAATGCTTTATCTCTTCAAGCTGACTCCCACGCTCCCGCCACCAGCCCCGGAAGGTTCCGGAAATCTCCCTGCCTCTCCAAAAGCCCTCTTCTCACCCCCTCTTGGCCGCAACAGACACACCGGTTCTCCTTGGTCCTGTGCTGTCCCCTCCTCTCATCCCGGGGGAAACTCCCAAGTGTCAAAAGAAAAAAAAAAAAAAAAGACAAACTTTGAACTCCACCACGCCGCAGCTGCTGTCATTGGCCCTTGGTAGCCCCAGCACGCCACTGACACTGCGCTGCCCCTCGGGGTCAATTAGTCCTTTTTCTGTCCAAATACCTGGGGCTCCGGCGCTCTGGCCAACAGTGGCCGCGTTAGGGGTGCCGCCAAGGCGTCCGCCTCGGGCTAAGTCAATGAGCGCCACCCGTGGGCTCAGGAACCCCGCCGGGCAGTAAACAGAAGTTGGAGGGACTCAGGCCAACCGCAAGTTGCACTACTGGAAGAACTCTTCCGGGAGCAAGCCCAGCACCGGGTGGGAAGGCCGGCTCTGAGCTCAGTATACCAGGCTTTTTTTTTTTTTTTTTTTTTTTTTAAAGAGATCGTGCAGGCAGGAGAGCAAGCGCCCCCAAAGTCAATCGCAAGACAGCTCCGGGATGCCAACAGAGGAGGCCCCGAGTCCCCTGCCCCTGGCCGAGGCGCGTGCCCGGTGCGCTCCAGCTACCGGGGGGCCCCCCGGCTCTGCGTCCCGTGTGACCCCGCAGGGTACGGGGAGAGTCGGGCTGGCGGCCGCACGCAAGCACGCTCAGGTGCCAAGCCGGGCTCCCGGCCCGCGCTCCACCCGCTGCAGCCCTGCACCCCAGGAAGGCCAGGCAGGCAGGCAGGCAGGCGCAGCCCAGCGACCTCCCTGCGGCCCGAAGAGGTGCAGCGATTCTACCTGGGTTTGGGTTTGTTTTGTTTTGTTTCTTTTTTTCTTTTCTTTATTTTTTTTTCTTTCTTTTTCCCTGCCCAGCCGGAGGAGGAGAGAACCTCCACGGACCGGCTTCTGTCTCCCACGCCCCGAACAACGGGCGCCACCAGAAGCGATCCCGCTTAGGCTCCCAAAAAACGCGCGAGAAAGAAAGAAGGGGGCTAAAGAGAGAGGAGGGGGGCGACAAATAATCCCGGGGGAGGCAGGAAAAGCGGACTCCTTTGCAGCATCTATTAAAAAACACACGCTCGCGCGCGCACACACAGACACACACCACACACACACACACACACACAAAGGTAAGTTTGGGTTGGAGCGAGGGGCGACCCAAGCCAGAAGCCAGCCGGGTCCCTATGGTTCCCTCGAGCCTGGGAGCCAGTGGGTGACAGAAGGGCCGAGAAGGAGAAGGAAGCCACCCACCCGAGGCGGTGGCGGGTTCAACAGCTGGAGCGCGAGAGGGAAAACCGCGAGACCGCGCGACCCACCTGACTGAGAAGCGCTGGGCTGGACGGTCCCCGTGGCCACCAGAAGGCTCCCCCAGACCCACAGTCCCGTCGCCAGCTTCATTTTTGGCAAGTCTCAGATCCCGCGCTGACAATTACATGTCCAAATGGCATAGCCCCTTGCGGGCACGCGGAGGAGATTTTCTTCTTTTCCCCCCCTTCTCTCTCTCTCTCTGCCGGGAGCGCGTGGGGGGCGCGAGGGGGGCGGGCGCGGCGCGCGCGGTGCCCGGGTTCCCCGGGGCTGGCGAGCGAGTCGGTGCCGGTGGCTTCCAGGGCCCGGGGACCGGGGGACCGGGGGACCCGGCGAGGGATCGCGGGAGGGAGAGTGCGCGCGCGGGTGGGAGTGTGCGCGACTGTGCGGCTGGTGCTCCAGGCAGGACTGTGCAGCTATTTCCCCGAGTGCTCCTCCGCTCGCTCGCACCCTCCTCACTTTTTCGCTCGCTCGCTCCCCCTCTCCTCTCTCTCTCTCTCTCACTGGTTGGTCAACAATAAAAAGAAAGAGGGGGAAAAAAAAAACAGGCTTCCAAAAAAAGTTGATTGCAAAGAGGCGGCAGGGTTCCGGCCTCTCCCCCAAAGCCGGGCTATGTTCAGCTCTCTCTTCAGTCTCCTTGCACCTCCTGTCCAAATCTAGAAGGAGAAGGAGGAGGGATGGGGGGGGGGTGCTTCTTTGCGTCTCTTCGATCTTGTCCCCCTTTTTTTCCCCACTGTCAGCTTTCCTCACACTTGTCCAGCCATTGCGGTAATTAAAGCTCCGAGCGTCATATCCAGCGCTCCACGGTCTCCAGCCGCAGCCCCACAGAGAAATTAATAAGACTCAGGGAGAAAGAAAAAAAAAAAGGGAAAAAAAAAGGAAAAAAGAGGGGGTGGGAATCAAACAACCCTCCACGCAACCAGCTAGGCTCTCCTCGGCTCCGCAAGCCCCGCCCCCGCTCTGACCCATGTAGCCACGCCCTCCCCCCCAAGGAGAAATCTTATTGGCTCAGACACTCCCCAAAATCCTGGGCCTCCAGAGTTGGGAAAACACCTGTCAGGCAGAGGGAGCTGCGTCAGGGTTGGGGCTTGGGGAAGAGGGATCTGGAAGGCCCCGTGCAGTCCACTGTGTGAAATGCTCCCCTTGTGGCTGCCCAGGCAGAGGCCCGCCCGGGACGGCTGGCCCCCGTGGAGTCGTCAGTCCCCCGGAGGGAATGCTGGCCGAACGAATTTTTTGACACAAGCAAAACACCTTTCTCTTGATTGCTCCTAGGTGTCAGTCCTCACATGGGACTTTTCTGGAAAGACAAAGTCAACGTTTGCTTTGGGCAGAGTATCTCTGTCCCTCTCCAGCACCCCATCACCTTCCATGCTTAGTATTTTAAGATGGATATTGTAGGTAACCGGTAGCCCCGCAGGTAAGATGAAATCTACCAATATTTCCTTTTCCAGATATGCCATCTCTCCCATCTTCCCCAGATGACACTGAGCCAAAATAAAAAAAAATCCATATTTGAAAAACCACATCTTTGATTCTGAAATTATGCAAACTATCTCAAGCCTGTGCTGTTCAGTCTGAAGGACTCTAGGAGGTCAGATGTAACTATGGCACTCAAGACATTAGGCTTAGTCCATAGCAGAGCCAGTGTGAGGCCTTGTCCTTACTCTCCCTTTGCAGGGTATATGATTTCCAGGTCACTGAGAGCTGTGAGACTAGGTTTCTCTAAGCCTAAAATGCTCTGGAAGGGGCTACTGTGATCTGCAGGACCACAGTTCTAAAACTACTCCAAGCCTGGGCCAGGGCCATTAGAGAGTCACTGTTACTGCTTTGCTGATTTTAAGGGTATTCTATGTGGGTGTGTTTTTTCCCTTCTCTAGAAGCAGCGAATAAATAAATATAAAATATCAAGGGTGCTTTAAAACCAAATCACCCTGCTTCCTCGGGAACGATTGGTCTCCCACATCTTCTGTCTATGACCCCATCCCTTAAGAATTTCCAGGCAGCTGCAAACAGCCACAAGAGAAGGCTGAATCTTGAAAGGTTTCCTTGGACCCACTGCAGGCCAAACACGCTGAGAGTATTTTTTACCCAGAAGCAGCTTAGGGCAAGGAAAAAATGAAGCCCAGAGCAAGCGATGGGAACTTGACTAGAATGCCACTGATTACAGCGGTACACACACAGGGCTCGGGAGTTACCTCTATTCCATCTTTATCACCTTCCCACTCAGATTTCTTTTCTTTCCTTCGGTGCGTTCTCAACCCGGTTGACTTGTCTTCGTCAGCTTGTGATTACCTTCGGGTACCTCTTCTATAAAAGCTGCTTACTTTTACATCTGTCGCCACAATAGCAATTTAAGTGACAAAAAAAAAAAAAAACAAGCTACTTCTAGGGGACTGGAGGGAGTTTAAGCTTCTACATTTTGTTAGACTCCTGTTTCTGGTGACAGTTATTTTGTATAAGTGAACAAATTATGATAACTACATTGTAGCTCCGGTTGTGAGAAAAAGATCAGATGTGTAAACATTTCAAGTTGTTTTCTAGTTTTATCCATTATGGTAGGGTTGTTTATTTTTTGGTTGTTGTTGTTTTGTTTTGTTTTTGTCCAAACTGAGTTTCATGGCATGTATGATACCTTAGGTTCAATTCTCAGTACTGAAAAATAAAAACTTTTTATACTGCTATTGCTGCCCATCCATAGCAAGACCTCTATATTTTCCAGAATAATTCTTGGCCAGAGAAGACTTTTAGTTACAACTCATAGTTTTTTCCTGTTTCTGTAGAGGTCATACACTATTCCCACCAATTATGTTGCCAATGCACCAACAATTCGAATCTAAATCTTGATTTAGTTTGTCTTGACCCATATTTTTCTGGTTCTGAGTGAATGAAACACTAATCAAGACTGAGCCATAGGGGGCCATTTGAACAACAGCTTTCAAACCTCCAAAATGGACAGGAAAGTTGTAACTTACAGAAGCATGCCATATTTAATGGTGGCTAGTCTCCCTTTTCAAAGCCTGCCTTAGATCATTGCAATATTAGGATCAGAGATGTATGGGGAATGGGCCAAAAGAATGAGAAAAAATACCCAAGAACCCTGGCTTTACATGTCTTCTTTCATCAGCTTCCCATGTCTGCTAAGTCAGCATAAGGAGGAACACTATCAGAGAGAACATTTTCTACCTGGTAAGGGAAGGACATGCTATCTGAATTGCCAGAGGCAGAAACAGATCTCTGTGTTTCCCCACTTTCCAGTGTTACATTATAATAAAATCTTATCGGTTGACTGAAATGTATTGCTGAGACTTAAAACATGTGGGGGGGGGCAAACTAAGTAAATTGTGGTCTAGCGAATTACAAACAAGGAACCTGAATGATCTCCTGAGTCCCCCTCCCCTCAATTCTTATGTTCTGAATCTGGAAATCCACCCGCCTTACCACACACTCCAGTGGTTCTAAGTTGGACAAATTAACCAAACAAAACTGTCCCAGTCACTACTGATTACACGGGAGATAGTCCTTTCCACCAAGTCTCTTCCCTGGGATTTTCATTCCTGGGAAAGAGAAAGTTCACATTCAGTCTGTCTGTGCGATGAGAAAGAATGAAACTATCATTTGAAAGGAACAAAAGTCCAGATGGGTCTGGACAGCATTCAAGCTCTCCTTGTAGTGTTTTCATCAAGCTAGTTCAGTTTTCATTTTGTTATCTGAAACCAGAACTGTAGGGCATGAGAAAAGAACTTTGCAGCTTGAATGAGGTTGTACAGATCCTCATTTTCCTCAAAGAGGATGTTTTCACATGGGCTGTGCTTCAGTTTTCTGGCTTATCTTCTCATCACTCCCCTTGAGTAAAGCCATATTCCCTACACAGACCTTTGTTTTCTGATACTTTCCAGTATCCCCCGTATCCCTTACCCTTTCATAGGTGACTCAATATTGCTAGTTGCAGGACTTGCATGTACAATTAAGATCCCATAATGGTTTGATTATGAAGAGTCACCTCAAAAGGCCCAAATGTTGCAGGCTTACCTCCCCGCCTCCATACCCTCAGCGGGTGGTACTATTGAGAGATAACTAGATCACAAGAACAATAATTTCATTAATGTGAGAAATTCATTGATGAATTCATAGTGATTGACTTATCAGGAGGAGGAACCTTGTTGAAAGAAGTATGTCGCTGGGCAAGTGAGGGGAGATGGGTTGGGCCTTCAAGGGCATATCTACTCCTTGAGTCTTTTCTGCTTTTGCTTCCTGGCAGACCTTAGGTGAGCAGCTTTATTTTACTATGTGCTCCCTGCCTCGAAGTTCACATCCTAAGAGCAAATGCATCAAAAACCATGACCCAACATGCATGGTTCCTTTTAAGTTGATCTGCTAAAGCATTTTGTCACTGCAATAAAAATTGCCTAGTATCACCTTTGACAGTATCTTACAACCTCATCATTCATTCATATGCAGCTTGTTTGCACAACCTACTGCAAGATCAGCTAAAATGTACTGGATTAAATAGTTTCATCTCATTGGCCATAAATACAAATTGGAGTTAAGTAAGAAAGTTGAGACTATAATATAAATCAATTGTCTTCTCCTGAATACTGAAACATAAGGTTTGGATTTTAATTTTGCCTTCTGTCCATCATCATTTTTTCTAAGTTATTTTGTGGTCTCAAGTAATTCATTTCACTAACTTGTGTCCATTGCCTTACATTTAATAAATGGGTAGTGATATCCCAAATCTAAGATATTATATTTACATGATTTATCTTATAACTTTCTAAGAACAAGTTAAAATATCCATATGCCCAAAATCCTTCTGGCATTCCCACATCATTTCCCTCACTCAACCCTTGCAGGCATCTCCATCTAGGCCACCAGCGCAGACACACCTTCCATTGTTGTTTTTAATCTTGAGCTGTTTTGACCAATGCCATGGACTGGGTGGTTTTGCTAACTTTTATTTCTCATTTATAAAACCCAGAAGTCCAAGATCAAGTTACTGAGTTGGTCTTGGCATACAGATAGAATTCCTTTATGGCTCCTTACAGGGAAGAGAGGAGGGGGTCATCTGTCTCTTTCAAAGGAAGTGATCCCATCCTTGAGTGCTCTCCTGTGATGACCTCATTACCCCTTACAGCTTTCTCATGGAGGAAAGATTTCAACATTTCTATATGTGGATTTGGGGGAACAAACATGAAGCTTCTGTAAATACATAAATAGGAATACAACTAATTTGGATCTTACTGTTCGTATGGAAAAGGAGAAATAGTGAAAAGTATATCATAGTCAGTATTACAACCATAAAACACAAAACAGACACCAGATTGGATGGTTGTATTTGGTTGGTTAACTTAGCATGTGGAATAACACCTTTACTGTTCAGCTGAGTTCACAGAATGCTAAGTTAACAGATATTCTGTTTCAATAAAAAAACAAAAACTACTAAAATTCAAATGTTTTAAAAGATATGTGAGCAAATATTAACTAAAGAAATGTGTCTGCTAAGCTTGTTAGTATCCAAAAAGGATCTCCCCAAGAATATTTTGCTTTGGGTTACTATTATTTTCCTTCTATGTGAATCATCAATCCTTAATTTTTCTAAACACTAGGGAGGAGCGACTGAACATAGCTAAATCGAATCTCCATTGCTTTTATGTCTGTTCATCAGCATCTGTCCAAATTTTAAAAGACATTTATAGTTTGTATTAAAAACTGCAAAGCAATTCCAGCTGTATAGACAAAACAGCTTTTTACAAAATGTTAGGCAAAAATGAATTTCCTAGTGGAAACTTCTCTTGTGGATCGGCTCTATAATATTTTCTTAAATGATGTTCTTATGTTCTGTGTATTCGCCAGAAAGACAAGGTCAACAATCAATTGCAGTTACTGACTGAAAACAAAAAGGGGAGGAATTCTTGTCCCTTTTCATATCTAAATGCTTGA